TGATCTTAACTCTTTCCTTCCCGTATCACTTTTGAAAACCATGCCCTCCGCTATATCTTGTTTGCTAAAAACTGTATTAAAATCCCCCAGCATAATAATATATTTATAATTCCTCACAATTGTCTTGATAATGTTAAAAAACAATCTCTTTTCTTTTTCTTTCGTTGGTGCATGTATGTTGACCAGTATAATATTCTTCTCTTCATAAATCATTTCCACTACCAAACATTTACCTATTTCATCTATTTCATCTTTTTTGCATTTTACACCACTGTTTTCTCTTATTAAAATTGCCACACCTCTACCATTTCTTTCATTTCTTTCATTATACAGAATTTCACCGTTCCACCTTTTCCTCATTTCCTTTATAGACCCTTCTGTCCAATTTGTTTCTTGTAGCATTATTATATCTTCTTTTTTACACATTTCTTTTACTTTATCAAACTTTCTTACATCTTGAAGTCCTCTCGCATTAAATGTTACTATCTTCACCATCATGAGACAAAAAAGAATATATATCAAACCCATCAATTATCATTCTATCTCCCCCAAGTCCTTTAACAGTTCATATCTGTTTACATTTTCCAATAAGTCCTCTTTAACTACCTTTTTCCTTGCCCCAGCCAAGCTTGGTTTTACCTTGATTGATCTTCTTCTTTTCATTTGTTTCCCAACTTTGTCCTCCTTTTCCTCTTCACTGCCCATCTCAACAGTCTGTTCTTCATTCACAATCCTTTGATGTTCTATTCTGTCCAAAATTGTTTCAACAGTCTGAGGAATGTCCATTTGCATCTCCGCTTCTCCCCCTTGCTGTGCTTGCTCTTCCTGTATGTTACTTTCTTCACTCTGTTCTCCTTTGTCCTTATTTTCTTTAGTTCCATTAACCTGTGTTGTTGTGGTTCCTTCCTCTTGCTCCTTTTCGCTGTCTCCTTCATGCATCTGCCCGCTCACACCTTCTTCCTCCTCTTCCTCGTTTCCCATCCAGCATTCACACTTGTTGAGCACCTCCTCACAATCTGGGCACTTCACCGCCTTGCAGTCCCTCGCAAAGTGTCCCCTCTCATCGCATTTATAGCACCTAAACTCCGGACAGTCTTTCACCATATGCTCCGGGCTCATGCATAACCTGCAGGTCTTTACCTGCTGGCTATGCATCACCCGAAAGTGCTGTGGTCCTTCCGCTGTGTCGAACTTGGTGCTGTACGGGAGTGAGATCACTTCTCTGGGGAATCTTGTTCTAACAAATCTTGTTCCGTCTTCAATATGTGTGCCTGGATAGACCCTTCTTTTTATTTTAGAGATGGGGAGAACTCCCCATCCCTCCAGTTTCTTTAAAATGTCCTCGTCGTCCATGTAAACAGGCAGATGCATAAAGGAGACAACAAAGTCTCTGTTTTTAAGTCTTGTTACCTCACAGGTTTTTCCTTTGATAATTAATCCATTTATCAGCTCCTCAGTGTCCTCCTCCCTCTCCAAAGTCACCTCATAACACCTTGATGGCTTAGGTCGAACTGCCAAGATTTTCCCATCTCCAACTTTTTCTGTCACTGACTTTATAATATCCACTGCTCTCACATCTTCCACATCCATTAAGTCCACTGTTACTGTTGCTTCCTTACTGTAAACTCGTTTCCAGATATCCTTCGTAGTCTCCTGTTCCTTTTGGTTTCCATCTCGGTGTCTTTGTTCAGGTCCAATTTCATTTCCTCTTGGTGTTTCTCTTGCCATTGCAGGGGTCGTTGCCGTTAATCCATCCATTTTAAAAATGAAAACCAAAAAACCGTAGCTTCCCCCCAAACAGCGTGAGCTGCTGGGAGGAAAAAAAATAAACAAAATTTGTTTCTTGTAGCATTATTACGTCTTCTTTTTTACACATTTCTTTTACTTTATCAAACTTTCTTACATCTTGAAGTCACAAACATGAGACAGAAACGAGTATACATAAAGCCCATCAATTATCATTCTATCTCCCCCAAGTCCTTTAACAGTTCATATCTGTTTAAATTTTTCAATGAGTCCTCTTTAACAACCTTTTTCCTTGCCACGCCCAAACTTGGTTTTACCTTGATTGATCTTCTTCTTTTCATTTGTTTCCCAGCTTTGTCCTCCTTTTCCTCTTCACTGCCACTCTCAACAGTCTGTTCTTCATTCATGATCCTTTGATGTTCTATTCTGTCCAAAAGTTTTTTAACAGTCTGAGGAATGTCTATTTGCATCTCCGCTTCTCCCCCTTGTTGTGCTTGCTCTTCCTGTATGTTACTTTCTTCACTCTGTTCTCCTTTGTCCTTATTTTCTTTAGTTCCATTAACCTGTGTTGTCGTGGTTCCTTCCTCTTGCTACTTTTCACTGTCTCATTCATGCATCTGCCCGCTCACACCTTCTTCCTCCTCTTCCTCGTTTTCCATCCAGCATTCACACTTGCTGAGCACCTCCTCGCAATCCGGGCACTTTACCGCCTTGCAGTCCCTCGCAAAGTGTCCTCTCTCATCGCATTTGTAGCACCTAAATTCAGCAGAGTCTTTCACCATATGCTCCGGGCTCATGCACAACCTGCAGGTCTTTACCTGATGGCTGTGCATCACCCAAAGGTGCTGTGGTCCTTCTGCTGTGTCGAGCTTGGTGCTGTACGGGAGTGAGATCACTTCTCTGGGGAATCTAGTTCTTACAAATCTTGTTCCGTCTTCAATATGTGTGCCTGGATAGAGCCTTCTTTTTATTTTAGAGATGGGGAGAACTCCCCTTCCCTCCAGTTTCTTTAAAATGTCCTCGTCGTCCATGTAAACAGGCAGATGCATAAAGGAGACAACAAAGTCTCTGTTTTTAAGTCTTGTTACCTCACAGGTTTTTCCTTTGATAATTAATCCATTTATCAGCTCCTCAGTGTCCTCCTCCCTCTCCAAAGTCACCTCATAACTCCTAGTTAGTTTAGGTCGAACCGCCAAGATTTTACCTTTTCCAACTTTTTCTGTCACTGACTTTATAATATCCACTGCTCTCACATCATCCACATCCATTAAGTCCACTGTTACTGTTGCTTCCTTACTATAAACTCTTTTCCGGATTTCCTTCCTAGTCTCCTTTTCCTTTTCGTTTCCATCTCGGTGTCTTTTTTTCCAGTCCAATTTCATTTCCACTTGGTGTTTCTCTTGCCATTGCTGGGGTCGTTGCCGTTAATCCATCCATTTTTGAAAATTAAAGCCAAAAATAAAAGCTTCCCCCCAAACAGTGTGAGCTGCTTGGAGGAAAAGATCAAACAAAAAGTATACCAAAATAAAACTTTTTTTTCGGAAGGATGACAACAAAAAACAGAACAAAAAAGGTGAGCCTTTCTCACCGACTGCTCAAACTGCCAACTCACTTCCTGCTAGCACTCTAGCGCCCACAGGGTGGTATGGCCTCTCGCATGCTAAGCAAGCTCTCTACAATTTGAGTTAATTCCCCTGGCCGTATGAGGAGAGATGTCCACCGCTACAAAAGACTCCATGGAGGTGAGCTCGCTATTGTGCAGGTGCTGTACAGGGATGTTCCAACAGGCTAAAAGAAAAGAGGCCATATCTCCTCTTTGCTGGCATCTTTGCATTGGCCACCACTTAGTTGAAGAATTAACTTAAAGATTGTGCTTTTGTTTGTTAGACCCTTCTTGGTCTTTCTCCCCAGTATATGTGTGGACTCCTGTATTACATACACTACCTGTGGATTACTCTGGTCAAGCAGCCAACCTCCCCTTTCTGTTTCCCACAATCAAAGGGACATCTGGCTGTTGCAGGTGTTCTCCCTAAGCTTTGGAAGCGTCTCCCTCTTCATGTTAGGTCCACCCCCAATTTTAAATCCATGCATAGGCCCACTTTAATTCGTTAGCCTTTGACATTGTCTCAAGTTGTAGAAAGTCTTCCATGTTAGATCATTTTCCTTCTTTTGTTCTTGCTCTTGCTGTTCTTTTCCTCAGGTAATTATGATGGCTGCCATCTTTTATTAGCTCATCTCTTCTAATGCTTGCTGATTTCATTCAGTGTTTCTTTAAATGAAACTTTCTCAGCTTTCCTGTTGTCGTACCACACTTTGCATCAACTTCTCATTTTTTTTTACATGTGCTTTATTACAAATAATTGATTTGGCTTTCACAAGATTGTGATCCTGTATCAGAAGTGACTTTTGTGATCAAGTAAGTTCGCACCCATGAGAATTGTAACAGGGTAAGTACTCCCAAGGAAACTTCATTACACATTAAATTTGTTTTCTGCACACACACACATACAGACATAAAAAGGCAGCACAGTTTGTCTTTGCGCTTCTTTTCTTTTTTTTTATGGTCAACGATTCTTGGCTGTTTGACATGGGCAATTGAAACGTCCGACTGACCAGGCGTTTTGGACGTCTCGTTCGTTCCCCATTCGGGCTAATTGGAGTTGTACTGGCATGACTGGAAATAGCTGCCTGTGGGCAAAACTTGCTTTATCTTCCATTTCTGAAATAAACTTCCTACTTTCATTAGGACTTTGCTGACTATCCTACACACCCTACAGGTAAAGCTAGTGGAGCCACGGCAGAAACAAGTTTCTCAGAAACTGACACACTTTAACACTTGTTTTTGCCATAGGTGCAGATTTCGTGATGCTCCTTGCATTTAAAGCCATTTGAACAGTGATGCTCGTGGCTAGGCAGCGGATCAAAGGCAGAGCGAGCTGACTCGTTGGTCTAGGGGTATGATTCTCGCTTTGTGTGCGAGAGGTCCAGGGTGAAAATCCTGGACGAGCCTGTGATAAGGCTTGCCCTTGAAGCTCATCTATCTTTTAAGTGTCATAATTAGAAAGAAAATTGGAAAGAAGTCCAGTCAGAGCCAGGCCGGTTAGCTCAGTTGGTTAGAGCATGGTGCTAATAAAGCCAAGGTCACAGGTTCATCCCCGTACGTGCCAGCCTCTTTTGTTCTCTGGTAGGTCAACTCTGCTCTTCTCGCAAAGGGACGGGTGGTCTCATGGAAATCCCTGCTGGTTAGAACTGTGGCTGAAATGGCGCAGTTGGGAGCGCGTTAGACTGATGATCTGAAGATCCCAGGTTCGATCCTGGGTTTTGGCAGATGCTCCCTCTCCTTGACTTTTGGTCGAGGTGGGCCGGTGACCAAAATTCACTGTGAACCAACCCTGCTGTCTAATTGGCTCCCCATAGCCACAACGCTATCTGCCTTTCAAATGGCTGCCAGCAAAGGAGTGGTGGTTCCATGGTGTAATGGTTAGCACTCTGGACTTTGAATCCAGCACTCCGAGTTCAAATCTTGGTGGAACCTACATACTTTCTTGCGGCAAAAAAAGCACAAGCTTGGAGGTAATGCTGGTGACCCTATAAGTGATTTAGTCTTTGTGGCAATGTGAGCAAGTGTCACTGTAATCAAAGTTCCATGGTGTAATGGTTAGCACTCTGAATCCAGCGATCCGAGTTCAAATCTCGGTGGGACCTGCTTATGCCACGAATGTTCAACGATTCTTGGCTATTTGACGTGTGCAATTGAAACGTCCGATTGACCAGGCATTTTTGGACGTCTCGTTTGTTCCCCATTCGGGCTAATTGGAGTTGTACTGGCATGACTGGAAATAGCTGCCTGTGGGCAAAACTTGCTTTATCTTCCATTTCTGAAATCAGCTTCCTACTTTCATTGGGACTTTGCTGAATATCCTACACACCCTACAGGTAAAGCTAGTGGAGCCACGGCAGAAACAAGTTTCTCAGATTTCGACGCACTTTAACACTTGTTTTTGCCACAGGTGCAGATTTTGTGATGCTCCTTGCGTTTAAGAGTTAATAAGCCAGTTAATAATGAACCGTTTAGATTTTTAACATTAGTTGTAATGCACATGCTCGGAGCACACGGCCTGGGATGCCATCAGGACCTGCAGCCTTGCGGATATTCACCCATCGGAAGGATCGAGTTACATCCGCGACAGAGACGGAGAGTGCACTCACCACTTCTGCAACAGCCGCGGGAGCGCTCTCTGTGTGGGCGGTGTTGTGAGCCTCGAAACGAGCATAAAAATTATTAAGCTCATCCGGTAGAGAGGTGGCAATGTTCACAGTAGCTGGTTTATTCCCTTTAAAATCGGTGATGTTATTGATGCCCTGCCACATGCTTCTTGCGTTGTTGGTGTTGAATTGTTCTTCAACTTTGTTTTTATCTTTGATGGATTTCCTTAGGTCGTAACTGGCTT